ATCGGAAATTAATTTTTTTCACAATACGTAAGTTACGTTATTTTAACACAACTATGCTTTTTAATAAATAACAAACTTTACTCATTATATTAAATATTTTATACATACATAAAGCAGTAAATAATAATTAAGAAGATTATAATAAGGAGTAGTTGATGGTTGTAAGTGGATTTGGTCAGTATCAAAGCGTGGCTTAGTAATATTAAATCTCTTCAGTATGTTTAATTGAAATTAATTGATGCTAAATCATAATTTGTCTGTTAATTAACATAATTTAACGTCACATTATTTGCTGATGTAGTTAACTAGAGTTGCCAATAATCAAGAACCAGTGGAAACGGACCTTCTTTTGTTTCGTAACATAGCTTTTTGAACCCTAAATATCATGAACTTACTAATTCGTATATAAAATTGATAAAGTGGCATGAGTACGGAGTCAGCAATCACTTAGAGCCGCTAATCGCTGATAATGCGTGTCATCGCGCATCGCAAGTCGCGGTGCTTCATTGGCCTCTCTGTGTAGCACGCTATATAGTGCGTTTATTTACAATTGGCCAGTGAATCAGTTTGAAAGTATGAAGAGACTTAGGTAAAATATCTGTTTCCAGAATCGTCAAATATTGTTCTTATTCTTTTGCCACAACTTTTTTTATTATTTTCAACTTTATTCACCTATGTTCTGTTTTTTTTTTAATAAATTTTAGTTTAATAAAGCCAAATATGACACGACACATAAATTGATTGAGTATTTTTGATGTTACCATATTTAAATGGTTCATAGTAATAATGACGCAATAAAGTCTTATTATGGACAGCGCTACGCCGTAGCGCGTAATCGCCAAAACGTGTTTGTTTATTTACAAAAAAAAGGCTATTAAAGAATTTCAAGAAAGGAAAGAAACTTTCGCAAATAATTTCTATCAAGAGGGAATACCTTATAATATTCCCTCGGGATATAAATATAACGACGTAGGATGATTTTGAACGCTTTCCTGGATTTTATCAGGCGTAATCAGAACACTTAAAAAGCTATAAAAATAGTCTTAAACTACAGGATTTTATTGCCTTGTATTTTGGCTCGATGATAAAATTTAATGGATTAAGGGAAAACTATAAGGGCTTTATTATACACCTTAAACAGTAGCTTTCTTAATAAATTTAATAATTAAAAAAAGTAAATTTTCGTTGACCAATTATCACTAGACGTACTATACCAATCTCAGCGAAAGTAATAAAGGGTTAAAGTATTGCCAAGTCATTGGTTTTCTCTCAACTATCATTCGATAATCCACTCACCTGCCTTTCATTGGAATCGGAAACAAATGAGCTTCTGAGTAATAAGCAATTATTTTAACAATACTCAGTTTAAGGTTGATATCTTTTATTTTTATATTAAACTAGTTGTCGCGCGCGACTCCGTCTGCGTCGATTTATAAAAAAAAAACTTAATTAGTATAGCGTATGTGTTCTTTCAGACTATGTTCTATACGTATGCCAAATTTAATCGAGATCTATTCAGCCGTTCTAGAGATATCTTCAAACACCCATCCATTCATCCACATCACATCCATCTAAACAAGTAAAATAAATAGCAGCTCTTCAAGGCATAAATACGAAAAAATAATAATAAATAGTATCCTATGTCAGTCTCCTGCCTCTAAGCTACCTCCTCACCAATTATCAGTTATATCGGTAAAGCCGTTCATGAGTTATAAATAGTGTAACTAACACGACTTTCTTTTATATATTTTATTAGCTTGTATGAAAGAAGAGAACATTCCTATTCTCTCCATAGTTGAATAAGAAACAAAAGTGGATCAAAGTTCAAATATTTCTTCTTAAACAAGAGACATCTATATTTCTCCTGTGGCATTGATTCTTTTATGAATTTAAATTATAATTATAATATAAAAACTTATAGAAAAACCTGTGTATAACTGCAGCAGTATTGCAGATTTCAATTAATTACCGGCTCCCGGTTGCGGGCGCGTTCTGTGCCGATTTAACGAGTATCTAATATTTGGTGCGATTTGTGTGCAATTTCACTCACCAACTGTTTGACTAATTTATTATTTATAATATGCTTTAAATTCATTATTGCTCATTAAGATATAAATGGGGATGGTTCGATAATTAAATCTAAATTTATAATAGACATTTATTTTTTATTTTTTAGTGAATTATGAATTACTAGCTATTCCCCTGGACTCCGTATGCGCGGAATTTAAAAGCTTATAGTATTATAGTAGCCTATGTGTTCTTCCAGACTGTGTTCTACGTCTATGCCAAATTTCAGAGAGATCCGTGCAGCCGTTCTGGAGATACCTACTAACAAACATCCATCCATCTTAACATTCGCATTTGTAATATTAGTAAGATTGCCTGGCTACTGCTAGGATCATAATTTTCTTGGATATCTTTTAAATAGATCCTAAATGGAAATTTGTTTCCAAAAACTGATTTTATTAATATAATAATGTAATTAGTTCACAATAATTTCTATGTAGTGTTGCGGGTGTTGGCGCCAAATCCTAAATCGTGGTTTATTGTCCGGCGGGCAGGCGGGCAGGCGGGCAGCCGGCGCGGCTGCGACTGCTGTACAAAATTACACCTTTTTGCTATATTCTATCACACAATTTGTGGTCATTTAGACACATCTATATATCTATACTAATATTATAAATAGAAAAAGAATTGATTGTTTGTTTGTTTTCATTGAATATGCTCTGAGAGTACTGAACTGATTACAATATTCTTTCTCTGTTAGAAAACTACATTATCTACTAGATTTTTTATATCAGCACAAGTCGACGACAATTGCTTGTAAAATAAATCAATATCTTGAACAATTTCTTCAGTTAATTAGGAAAAGTAAAATTCAAAAAACTAACACGTTCATGTTTGCTCAGTTTAATTATGTGGTTGTACTGTAAATGAGAAATTTAGTTGATGATCTACAATTTAATATAAAAACTGAAAAGATCAGTCTAAAAATTACCTCAAGCATCCGTGATTTAACAGATGCAGTTTAAGAGCCGCTATTTACCGTATCATTATTACAGATTCATTATTTTCAGCTGGTTTACAGTTATTTTAGTGTACGGTGGCATGCCGGCCGAGTGTGTCATACCGGATCCTTGTGAATCTTAACTATGTTAATATTCGCGTTGGCGCGGACGTTAGTATGATTTTAATTTATTGTTAACGCGCACGTGGTGACAAGGTTTCCGACCGGTGTCATAAGGCATAGATATTTGTATGAAATACATAGTTTAGTTCTAACTAAACAATTTTCATCATCATCAACCTGCCCTTATCCTCATTGAGGGTCGACACAGTACTATCTCTATCATCCGTCATATCTGAATCTACCCCCATCCTACGCATATCCTCTTTCACACAGTCATTCCATACTTTTTTTGGTCTTACTCTACCTTTGTAGCCATCCACATTGAATCTCATTACTTTTTAAACTAAACAAATTTATTCGATTAAAGTATATAATAAAATGTTTTTTTTTAATCTTAACATACGATTATATTTTGTATACATAAAGATATTTTAGTGAATTATAATTTTTAACTGTGTGATTTTTTGAATGTTTCCTGTATACTTATATTTTATACTAGTGTCCGCAATCGAGCAGAAAAAGGGCATCCAGAGATAATTTTTTCTGTTGACACTAGCTTCTGAATCACAGAATATAAATTCGACGCGCTTCAGTTTATGAGTTGTGCCAAATCAATAGAAGCATTAACAATCTCTAGGTGCGCGTCTTTACTGCATACACCTGGACAAATCTGTAGAGTCTCAAACTATTCTCGTAGAACTCTTACAAATTGGAATGATTTCTATTAAATCCTGATTCCTACATTTCTTCTTCAACTTATGGAACTCTCAACTTAATTACAGAGGACCTCGATTAGTCTACTTTGAGAATCGTTGCTACAGTCTGAGAAGGTTATTCTTGTATCAACTAAATTACCAGTCATAAGGACGTGTTTAACCACATTTTAAAGTTTTCTTCATATTGCTTTATTTCACGTTAAAAGTGTACTTAAAACAAAAACAATTACTCATATAATGAAACCTCGTTCCCGATTCACAGTCGACACGGAAGAAATGTGAGTGAGAATTTCAAGAAATCAGAGTTTCTTGAGTATTTGATATTCTTAGTAATACAATAGTCTTAGACAAATTCTGACGACACATTTATGTAAACTATTCAAGATACAACTGAAATATGAATATTATTATTAGTATGCTCAGCTAACATTTTTCATTCTGAGAAAATTAAAAAAAGATCAAAACATAAAACATTGTACCAATAAATCCCGTATGACATCTTCTGCTCCGGCCGTGCGCTGTCCGATGCTGATGTACAATGGCATGTTTTGACAGCGCATGGCGGTGATTTAAATCAGCGCTTATGAGCTTTTAGTTATAATAAACAAAGTCTAAAAACCATCAAATTTTATTAGCCGTACATCATTGAACAACATAAATATGTCAAAATCGACATTTATCGCCGCAATTCATGATTATGATATTACGGAATGTGTTGTTTCAATAAATAAAATCGATATATCCCGCTCGAATATCAAAGTCGATTCATTAGATAATCGTAACGGTGAACATGTGTATTGTTGTTGGAGGGGCTCCAGCGTAAGTTACGAGCAACGCCGCCGCCGCCGTCGACCTCCTTACACAACTTACGCCAGTGTAAACGGCAGCCTTACCGGCCGACGTAACCGACGACAGATTTAAATCGATTTTAATTATCTCTATTGTAGGGCATAAACATAGGAACGCGTTTCATCAGTCGCGCTGCGCCGGCAACTTCACATGTTATGATGTTAATGTAGGTAGGACGCGTGGACGCGAGCCGCGAACCAACTTAAGTTTATAAATAGAATGCACATCGCTTCTGTGTTTAACGCAAGAAGCTTTCGGAGCGGGGCCGGCGGCGGCCAGTCGACGCGATCGCTCCCGCGCGCCGCTCGCGCTCTCGCGCCAATTCGCGCGACTCCCGCCCAAATTGACAACTACTTAAAAATCGAACGCGATCTATCTTTTTAGTTCTTTTTTCGAATTTGAAACTTTTTAAATCGCGCGTTAGTAGTGGCGTCGCGGAGGACTTGCTAATTAAAAATTTTGAAAACGAAACGTGTTCATTTGCATTTTTGCAAAAATTAATTTTTAAGTATAAAAATTTCTTTGAAAGCATGTGAATAGATTTCGACGACACGTCAACCCGGATCATCGTTCAACATCAGGTGGGATTAAAGAGAAACGGTGAACTAATTAAAGCTGAGAACGGTTTTGATTTGTCCCGCCAAAATTGACGAGTTATAATGTCTAGCTTTTCAGTGAACAAATATATAAGGCAAAAGCATCGAGTATAATTCGGCCACATGAGAAGTCGACTCGCTTGACAAATAACTGGTGAATTTAAACAAAAGGCGATTTGGGAACGTGTTAAACGTTTCTGCCACTAATCACGGCGCGTAACCGTGTTTCAAAAATAAAACGCCGCCGATTCGAAACCGGAGCATCTCGAAGGTTAATGAGAAAATAAAAAACATGCATTAAATTAGTGTCGGAGCGGTCACAGGCAAGCGCGCATACAGCGGCGGAGCCTGGCTAAACAATGTAACAAGTTTTATATACCCTGAAAGTCGATTGAATTTAGCACAGTTTTATATAGGCCGGGTATTGTAGTTTGTAACATGTTTGTGTTCATTAGAGGCACACAAACACAAGCAGCAGCGGCCCACCATACAATTACCGCGCTCAGTTTGCTAAAGTAATTAATAAGAACATATTCTTGTTGCGTTCATTACAAGGTAAGCAGAGTACACACTTATACGTTTTGATACTTTACATATCAAGAAATGACACCGAGTATTTCACAGATAATGAAAAGTTAACTTTGTCAATTATTGTTTAGTTACGAGATATAAAACTTATTAAGACTAACTTCTAAAATCCCTGCGACAAGAGCTTTCTTTAATTCTGCTAGAATTTCTATTTGTGCATTTATTTTCCTATATAGTATTTTGTCTTGTTAATATTTTGAAATAGAAAACAAGAAGATACTGAAAATATTGTAACAATAAAAATTACGGAGATGTCATAGTCCAAGCAAGAGGTTATTTTCTCGCGTCTCAGAACTACCAAACTTTCATCAAAATTTAAGGGGGAAAAATATAAATTGATTTTTAATATAGAGGATAATGTATAGTTCGATTTATCTAGGATGTATGAGTTTATTGTATGAGACGGCAGCACAGGCCTGTACGACGGGGTTTGGACAATGTTGACCCACATCCGACCGACTTGCCCGCTCTAACACAATGTACAGAAGCGAACACTAACTATTCTTTTCACCTTAGTTCTATTAAAAAAAATTAAGATTACGTTAAACAAGTAATAATCGAATTTCTTAAGCTGTGTTTCCACTGTGACACATCCGTACCAAAAAACTAAGACAATATGTTTAACGCAGAGTTATGTCATATGAAAGAAATACTTTAGAAGTAATATTGCAAATGTTTTATAGATAAATTCAAATAGATATATTAAAATATCATGTTAAGAAATTAAATCAGACATAAAGCTATAAAATGTTTAATAATATTTATGTATATTTTTAACACCCTTTGATGTACGTTTTGTTAAATAAAACATAATTATTTAGAGCGCTATAATAAAATCAAACGTTGCTGAGATATGAAAAACTAGACACGGACTCGTTTTATTATCTTAACACTCGTCGAAATAATGTTTATAACTCTATCCGCAATTTATATCCACAATATTTGTTAGTTCGCTATAAAATTTGCCCCTGCCGTGTCTGATACTTTGTAGCATTACATAAATTACTTTTTTTTCAAATGAAAAAACTGGATTCAATCGATCGTTATTATTATAATTTTATTTGATTTATTTGCCTATTTATAGCATTTTCTTAAACGTGAATATAAAAACTTTCTAAACTGTATACTCTGTATAATCATTCTGACGAATAACCTATTAATATGTAACATGCTGATTAATCAATTTTCGAACGAAGTTAAAAGGACAAAATGGCCGCCTTTTGCTTTTCGCGCGCTTTTCTACGTCACTTGGTAATGATGGCGGGTTGCCTGGTCATTGGTCATTTTGGTTGGGTTTGTTGACATCGAATGCTCATTAAATCATACATAAAAAGAAATAGGCTGATAAATTGCAATGTTTACAAAAATAGTTAGATCTACTCGGATAGAGGGAGCTGCCTCGGCAGCTGGCGCAGACGGGGCCACGGACGAGAGCGAAAGCGTGCCCGTGGTCCCGTCCCGATGCGTTGAAGGAACTGCTTTATGGTTTTTCCCGCCATTTCCTCAAAGATTAAACGATGTAGATAGGACCGAATCAAACATAGACGATCACAAACGCATTGACTAATAGTAAAATCGAGTGAATTTTCCTTATTTTTCTACCAAACTTCAAATGAACTTGATGTATAATTGTTTCCTATCAAGCCTTGACATTTGCTAGATAACCAGGGTTACAGAATTACTACTAGAATAGAGAAAAGTAGTTAAGGTAAAGGAAGGAAACTTGCAGTTATCTTGTGCAACGGCCGAAGCGGTGCGACCTTGTACAACTCTAAATAAAACTTTTTTTTTTATAAATTCTGTGTCGCTACTACATTCTCTTACGATGTCACAATGATGCAACAAAGACTGCATACCTCCATTCATCATTTCACGGAGGTTATACGGTAGACGAAGATTTGCTTTTGTTTGAATGCACTTTGACCTTACTTCGGACACACATTGCAACTCTTACCCGAATTTATTTCTTTACAGCTTTAGACCTCTCACTAATATAAATGCGAATGTTTGCATGGACGTATGTATGTTTGAAAATATCTTCAGAACGGCTGCATTGATCTCGCTGGAATTTGGCATAGATGTAGAACATAACCTGTAAGAACACATAGACTACTAATTAACTTTTAATTCAGCAAGGACGCAGTCGCAGGCGACAGCTAGTTAATAAATAAAACTACGTCACAATCGTATGGTCACAGATTGAAACGTCGCACCTAAAATAACCTATAATTCACGCTAATATTACCCAAATTGATTACCGATGGCCACATGCTATAATCATAATATTTTGCAAATGCCATTAAAGTTGATACAGCTGCGAAAATTTTAATTCAAATATCACATCATTTCGATTGAATCATTTCTTTTAATTAGTTATTGTTATCGAAATTATAGAGCTACTAGCTTTTGCCTGCGACTCCGAGAGCACGGAATTAAAAAGAAACTTTATAAGCTATTCCGGAGGCACTTTCCAACCTCCATACACGAAAATTTTCGAATTTTATAATATTGGTAAGATAATTCTTGTGATTAGCGAATAGTGCAGATTATGTCAGAGAAAATTACAATTAAAATTGGAACTGTCAGCTTTATTTCATAAAAAAAATAAATAATTGCAAAATACAATTCGATATTTTTAAAGCGATCGATGGTGCATTAGCTCTTAGCCTCGGAGATCTATAAAAAAAAATTAAAATTAAAATTGTGGTTGATGTCTCAAAAATGTAACAGCGCCATCTATTTTGTAAAATATACAACTATCAAGAAATCATCACTTCAGTGTAATTTTCTTTTTCAAGACGTTGGTATATCCAAATAGAAGAATACCAAGTTGTTATACATCTATGTTATTATTTTGTTATTGCAGAATATATGGCACGTAGCCATTGTGATTTTCCACATCAATAAATAAAAGCGCATCGTAATCGGATTAGTATTGATGCAATTTGCTTTCCATATCCTATATTAAATAGTTATGTCTGCATTTTGTTATTTTTAATAATATTTTATGATTTAAATTTAAATTGGTATCGATTTTTCTGATCTACTTTATGTTCATGACGGATAAAGTCTGTTACTATTTAAAGCATTTTTTATTTGACCTTCTTATATTTATTAATTTGCGATTTTTTATATTTTTAATATTTCGAATTTATTGTTAAATATTCATTTTTAATAAAAAAAATGTTTGAATATTATTACGTTCGTTAATTTTATATTTTTTTGTTGTGAAATAGTGCATTGTCCTAAAAGCGGACCGGATATGGGTAAAATATTATGACAATTCATTGTGACATCCGGCGTTACGACTTTTTCATTGTTCGGAAACGAATTTTGAATTCCGAATCCGCCGATAATTCATTAAAAACGTTTTTAACAATTTTTTTCTTAACAATTTAATTTCATGAAACTTTTATTGTAACTGCAATGAATTTAAATGTATGTACATTAAAAAAATTAAAATAAATAATGTCAAATCTACCAACGTTTTAGATTTTAGAAAGAGGCTAAGAAATGTGAAATCTTACTTTTTACTATACTAATATTTATAAATGCGAATGTTTGGATGGATGGATGGATGTTAGTTTGAAGGTATCTCCAGAACGGCTGCATCGCACAAAAATATGGCATGAATGTAGAAGACATTCTGGAGGACACGTAGGCTACTATTTAAACTTCTTTCTTATACACTAACGACTAAAACGGATCAAAGATGTCAGGTAAGTTTCGATCACAAAACATCAAAAACGTTTTTTCGTAAGAACTATTTTCCTTGCATCTCCAAACGAGCAAATTCGGCACGTTCACATGTTGTAGGGCGTACATCGTTTGATTTACGTGTTTTCAATCGCATCTCAAACGGCAGTCGCGCGCCTATTTTTACTGCGCGCACCGACTCCATCGCCTGACTTATTCCTGGCTTAAACTAGGGATGGGACAAAGATTTAATAAACGTAACTAGGTAGAACCGACGAAACGACACAACGTCTAGTGAGATCCTATAGATCAGAGATTCCAAACCTTTCTTCCTGTAGGCTTCCTGATGCTACATATATTCTTCAGCTTGTAATAAACCTATATTATTTCCCGCCATCGTTACTAGATCTTTTTCAGATGATTCAAAAAGTGACTTATCTGACACCACTCACTCTCCCCACAATTTTTCTAAATTTTAAAAGCTAAAATTTGTGTTATATCTGTAAAGGTGGCAGCCCTAGCTTAAAGCCGGCTTGATACGAAACATCTGGTAAAATCAATTACGGATCTATAAAAGGATCTTAATTTCTAATTTTGTTTTGTTGACGGACAATACGTTTTATGTATTTGAATCTTTACTCAACTGTGGCTGCAACAATTACTTACTATGGATATACGTTACTTGTCTTGCTGCAAAAATTTAGAAGTATCGCATCAAATCTTATCGTTATTTTCTACAAAAACATATTTTTTATCTCAGTATTTTACGAATAGAATAAGAGGGATGGTGGTATGTTTTTGTATGTCGTCTAACAGTGGGAACTCATTATTATATTATAAATACTGGTTTTATAGAACTCTATGCGCTTTATAATGAAAATTATTAGCAAATGATCGAAACCTGGTCATTACTGTAGCTTTTTCTATATTAGATATTCAAGCCAAAAATATGGCCGTATATCTTAAAATATTCGAGCGTAAAATTCT